CCTAAAACTGTTTGCATCACCAGCATGTCACCTCACCTCCTCGCCTGTAAATTAAAACATGATTTATCCATGTAAGTTATGTTTTAAAGTGGATATAGTTAATCCGTTAATCTATGTTAATCTAAGCACGACCATAATATGTTGTAATTTAAGCGTACATAGGCACCAAAGGCTTTGACCCGGGGACACCGCCCACCTTCCTCCTCGCGCTTCGAATGGAGCGCTAGCGATGCCTGGGACGTCTTGCTTTTTTCGGAACGTCATCGGGAACGTCGTCCACCATCGGTGGGAGCGAGGTTCGTCCAAAAACGTGTGTAAAAGGGGAGATCCCCTGGCCTCGGATTTTGGTCGACTGGTCGATTGTCCGAACCGAAACCAGGTTGGAACGCCGGCGGTCGGTCTCCCTATTTGATACAGTTCGGGTACAGTATATCCCGTTACCAGGGATATACCCGTGGATGATGGTTAGGTTCCGGGCCGCTCTAAAATAGTGATGTTCTTGTTGACCGACTGTGACTGTTACACGCATAATGGGACAGACCCTAGATACAGTACCCTACAAGTCCAGTCTGACCCATTGACCTCCTCCAATAAATTGAGGTCCGAAACCCTGACCTGTAGGGGTAGTGAGAGTGGGAGTCCGTGCAAAGGGTACCAGTCAAATGTTCTTATTTCATCTTATTTCCGTGGATTTGGGGGGACTTCACAGTGGGAGTGAGGGTGAATTATGTTTTTGGCCTTCCTCCTCAGGACCCCACCCACATCAACCATTATTTGATCCACATTGTCCACATAAACGTTCAATTACCCACCTCAAGGGAAAGCACAAGTAAATAGTGAGACCGCTCACCGTCTGTGAATTTCACTGCATTGGATTGAGCATAGGATTTCCTCCGTATGCCATCTAGGCCGGAGTAGCAGGACTTGGGACGGACCCCCTTGGACGTCCTCGACGCCGGCCCAAGCCATAAAGGGTGCGCTTTGCTGCGACCGCAGGGGCGGTCACGACTTCTTTGTGAGAGGGATGCAGACCCTTTAAACTGGTAGCGGAGCCCGGAGAGGCTGCTGCGTGCGAGAAATGGGAACAGAGGAGAAGAGATCGGAAGGTCTCACGAAGAGGTTCGATGGGGAGAGCAACACCGCTTCCAAGGACTATGAGCGCTGGAAGAGGTGGTGTAGGGCCTACCTTGTCGTGCAAAAGGCCAAGGGCATTCCGGCAGAGGCCCATGGCAGTTTGGTCTTCGCCCTCCTGGACGGTACGGCACTTCGTGCTTTGGACACGATTGCCATGGACAGGATCGAGGTGGCCGGAGGCGAAGATGTCATCTTTCAGGTGTTGGACGAACGGTTCCCGGCTGAGGCGTCGCACGATCGCCTTGGGAAGGTACTGGATCAGATCTTCGACCTGAAGGTGGACAAGGGCGAGTCAACAGCTATCTACACGGGGAAGGCCCGTGCAGCCTTTGCCGCCGCCGAGGCGGAAGGGGTTTCCATGCCGGACGTGGCCAAGGGATACTTGATGTTGAGATTCGCTCGATTGAGCCCTGAGAGAAAGGCGGTGGTGCTAGCGGCTGCCCGGCAGTCGTATAAGGAGCAGGACATCGCTGCAGCTCTTCGCACAACCTACCCCGACAACCTGTACCAGGCCGCGAAGCAGACAGCCACCTACCGGGTAGATCCTGAGGAGCCCATGGAGGAAATCGAGAACCCTTCAGAGGAGGATGCCTTCGACACCTTCTTGGCGGAGGCCGGCTATGCTACAGATGATGAAGTCGAGGAACAAGACGCCGTTGATGCCTTGCTGACATGGAAGCAGACTCGAGCGGGCATCAACCAGACCAAGATGTCGAGGGGCTTCGGAAATGCAGGACAAGCCCCAGGTCGAGATTTCAAGAAACTTGAGAGCCGTGTTCGCTGCTTCAGATGCAAACAAGTGGGGCACTTCAGCAAAAACTGTCCCAAGAAAGGAAAAGGTGGGGGCAAGAGTTCATCGAAGGAGGCAGGCCAGGGGTCGACGAAGGTCAACTATGTCTTCATGGTGTGGTCGAACGACTTCTTTGAGCCTGAGATGACCATCTCCCCCACAGGATACACGGTTCAGGAGACCCTGGAGGATGGCACTACCCTCACCCGGCACTATCCACCACCGTCCCAGGAGTACGGACGCCCGCTGACAGGCCAAGAGATGCAGGCCTTGGTGACGGGGTGGGAATACAGCCCACGGGACTTCTGGCACGTGCAAGGCAATCGGGTGATTCGAGAACATCTACTTCCTCGGCGACAGCTGTTCACACCGGCGGCATCGGGATGCCCAGTTCCTTTGGGAGAGCTCTGTGAGACTCGGACCACAAGGGCGGTCAAGAACAATGGAGAAACTTCAGTGCTGTTTTCCCACAACTGGAAACATCGTGGAGAAGCTCATCGGAAGTTGGACTTCGAGTGGTCGGGGCAGACGATCTTCTACCTGAGGGAAGCCGAGATTGGGCCTACTGATGAAGAGCTGGCTCAATTGGTGATCTCATACAAGGATGAGCTGGACCTCGCCCAGGAAGAGCTCCTTCGAACTCCAGAAGATAGTACGGAGTCCGAGGAGGATGAGACACTGGTGGCTCTGGTGCACTCGCCCGGGCATGGAGTGGTGGACACTGGATGTGGTCGAGGCCTGATTGGAGAGGACACGCTGAAGAGACACGAAGCGGTCTTGGCTGAGTATGACCTGGCCGTGAAGGAGCTTCCCCACAAGCCGCATGCTTTTCGATATGGGAATGGAGCGGCCGACCGATCGTTCAGGACCGTGCAGATTCCCATCTTCCTGGCAGGTGTGAAGATGTGGCTGAGGATGCATGTTGTCCCGGGACAAGTGCCGCTGCTCTTATCCAAAAGATTCCTGAAAGCGCTTGGAGCAGTAATGGATCTGCAGCAAGGAGAGCTCCTGCTCAAGAAGGCCCACTTGACCGTGCCGTTGATGGAACAGCGAGATGGGAGCTACCAGATCAATCTGCTCGATATGAAGCAACCGGCAAAGGTCCGAGACATGGAGATTGAGGTGATGCACACTCAGGAGCTGTGGGGTCAGTGTGAGCTGACCGAAGAAGAACGCTCTTTCTCGCCAGATCCTTTGTGGTCACCAATGGAGGACGGAGAGGAAGTCGAGATGGAGGGCACCATCAACATGTCGGACGACCACGAAGAGACGATCAGGGACGTCGAGAATGAGCACCAACTCGGGGAGGAAGAGGACCTCCCAGAGGAACAGCCGTGTCTCCAGCTCGATCAGGAGCAAGAAGAAGAAGAAGAGCGCTATGAAGTGGAGTCCGAGGAGGCCGAGCAGGACAATCGAACCGGAAGTCAGCCGGCAGAAGAACCCGAAGGAGAGCTGTCGGATGATGATGACGAAGGAGGAGAAGTACATGTCATGAAGGCACATGAGCGAAAGGCACTGCAGAACAAGATGAGTCAGGTCTGCCGGACCGTGATGGATGTCGATGCCTGGCCGGCCTGTGTGGAAATCTTCTGCCCTGGCCGCTTTGGAGAGAAGGCAGCTGCGTTCGGAGTGAGAGGAGCCAAGACCTTCGACTTGAGCACCGGCTGGGATTGGAAGAAGGCCGATGACCGGAAGGCTGTATGGGACTATTTGGAGACCCAGGACCCGGACCTGACGATCATGAGCCCGCCATGTGGGCCCTTGTCTATGCTCCAGAACTCAACCCCACCGTGGCGACGCAAAGATTTGGAGCAGTTCAACAGGGAGAAGGTTGAGGCAAAGGCTATGATCGCTTGGTGTGCCCGGATTGCCAGGGACAGGATGAGGAAGGGCCGGATCTTCGTCTTCGAGTCATCGAAAACGAGTGGCGCCTGGCGAGAACGAGGCATCCAGGATCTGATGGGATATGACGAATGCCATCGGGTGGATGTTCCAGCATGTTCGGTGGGTTTGAGAGATCGAGAGTCCCGGAAGCTCTTCGGCAAGGAGTGGGGCTTCTTGACCAATGGCCCGGGAATTGTGGCTATGCTGGGACGACTGCGATGCACTGGAGACCATGAACATCAAGTGGTGGAAGGCCGGTCCGGTGGTCAATTGAGGTCCATTCAGACACAGATATACCCCCCGAAGCTCATCAACATGATCCTAGGAGGATTCGCCTGTTCAGAGAAGTATGAGCCGTTATGCTGCCCAATTAGTCAAGCTGACGTTCAACTGGAGGGGTCAGAAGTTTCCAAACAGTCAAGGGAAAGAGTTCACAACGCGGTGCGAAAGATGCATGTGAACTTAGGGCACGCATCCATGGAGGACATGCTTCGTATCCTCAAACATCACGGGGCTCGGTCGGAGGTGCTGGAGCTCGTGAAGAGCTTCCAATGTGATGTCTGTGAGGCCCGTAGGCAGCCAAAGGCCGTCAAGGACAGCACCGTGCCGAAGGATCTGTCTCCCCTCCGTTACATTGGGTTGGGTGTCAAATGGTTACCCACCTGGAAAAAGGACATGCAGTTCAAGGCACTGAACATTGTTTGCCGAGCTTCGGGTTTACAACAAGTCTACCCATTCAAGGAGACAGAGACATCCGAGCTGCTGGTGCGTCTCTATAGGAATTGGACTCGAGCCTATGGTCGACCACGATACGTCAAGTTTGATGCAAGTCGATGTAATCTTGGACAACCCTTCCTAGATGCCCTCGAGAGAGATGGGACTGTTCCGTTGGATGTTCCAGGTGAAGCGCATGAACAGATGGGGGACGTGGAAGTACAGGGTAGACATTTCGCACAGATGCTGACTAAGGTTATGGATCAAATGCAACCGGATGATTACCCCCCAATGGTTGGAGTGTGTTGACTGCACAATCGAGGCAAAGAACCAGTTGATGAGGAGAGGTGGTTACAGCCCAAATCAATTGGTGTTTGGTCGGGACCCAGAGTACCCTGGTGATGATTTGTGGGACGAAAACCCCAATCCCATTTCAAATGGTGCCATTGTGGAGGATGCGATAGCCAACTTTTCCTTTAGGACCAGGCAGAAGGCTCGGGAAGCAGTACTGCAATCCTTGGATCATCGGGCTGCTCGCATCGCTCTGAACTCCAGACCTCGACCCAAGAGGGAATTCCGACCAGGGGACGAAGTCGCTGTCTGGAGAAGGGGTCGGGGCATAAAGAAAAGCATGGCTAGGTGGAGAGGCCCAGGGATAGTGGCTGGTGAAGCTGGAGGCAACTATTGGGTTTCAATGCCAGGCTCATTCGTAAAATGCTCCCCAGAACAGTTGAGACTTCGTACAGCATCAGAGCGTGAAGCAGACCGATTTTTGGTCCGCGACATTCGGGCGGCAGCAGCACAGTTATTTCCAGAGGTGGGACATTCCAAATCTACTCAGAAGAACTTCATTGACATCACAAAAGATGACTTTCCACCAGGTGATTTGTTTCCTGACTCTGGAATGCAGACAGCTGAGCCCGAAGTGGCAGAGAGAGCGGCGGCTCCAGAACAGGCCGACATGCCAAATCCTCCACCCTCGCAGCGGGGAAGTGAACCCATGACAATCTCATCTTCGTTAACAGATCAACTGAATCAGATGTCGGAGGAGGAGTTGACAGCATGGCGAGAATCAGCCAATCGTGCTGATCGGCTGGATGGTCATCGAAGACCAGGGGGTTCGGAGCCGGAGCCGAAGCGACCTCGACAAGGGCAACTCGTGGGAGGACAACAGTACCCACAGTCACTCCCTCTACCACCTCAAGTTTCCGGGGAACAAGTACCCATACAGGTGTCCAGCAGCGGCAGCGGGAACCAGTCAGCAACAACTTCATCATCTTCCAGTAGCTCAAGTCGTGTTCTGTTTCATGGGGTTGAGATCGTAGATTCAGCAACAGTCAACGTGAGTCTCAACGAGCAAGGCTCCACGGAGGCAGATTGGATCCTGGCTATTGAGGACAATGGGGACACTATTGACCACAGTACAGTACTGTTAGCTGGAGGAAGGAAAGAAATCAACCTCAAGGAACCCCAATGGAACTCAGAGGAGGGTCGAGCAAAATTGATCGAAGGGATCCGAAAGGAAGTGAAAAAAACTGCATCCAAGACAAGAGTGCCCTTCGAGCATGTACATTGGAAGAGTCGCGACAGATCCGGCATCAACACCCTGGCCGAATCGTGCCAAGCAGACTGGTGCTGACTCCTAAGGTTGACGACTCCGGAACCGAGATAGTCAAAGCAAGGTGGACAGCTAGAGGGGACAAGGATCCGGATCTTTTTGCGTTGGTTCGAGGCGGCAAAACTCAATCCCCGACAATATCATCAAATGGACGGTACACAGTTCTGCAAGCTATAGCAAGCAACAGGTACCCCCCTTCAGCTTGGGGATGTGACAGGGGCTTTCCTCGAGACCAAGACGTTGAAACGAGATCAGAGGTTGTGGATGTCATGTCCGACAAACCACCCGTTGCCAGATCATGATAAGGAACAATTGTTCGAGGTGATCAGGCCATTGTACGGTTTGAATGACAGTCCGCAAAAGTGGTACAGCACTTTCGATGAGACGGTGAAGGGACTAGGTTGGGCACCTTCCAAGTTGGACCCGTGTGTGTACATTTTATGGGATTCCGGTCTGAGCAGGGGACAGCCTCAGCTATGTGGAATCATGGGGGGTACACGTTGACGATGTTCTGTTGGGAGGTCGAGGTGAAGTGTTTGAGAAGTCCATCGCTCAGCTCAAAACAACATTCCCTTTTCGGAAGTGGATGAAACAGAGTGGAACTTTTTGTGGTTCTCTCCTTACTCAAGACCCCGAGACATATGCGATCGCAGTGAGTCAGACAGAGTTTGCCGAGAGCATGACAAAGCCAAAGCTGCGGGTCAAGGAGCCACCCCATCTCACAGTCACACCAGAGGAAGCGTCATCGCTAAAATCTGTGCTGGGAGCGGGACTATGGCTCGCCAAGGAAACGAGACCGGACTTGTCAGTCCAAGTGAGTCAAGGCCAGCAGTTACTACCGTCACCATCACTTGGAGAAGCAAGGTCAGTTGCCAACATAACAAGAAGAGCAAAACAACATAAAGACCTATGCTGGACAATCCTACCGATTCCATTGGACAAGATCAAGTTGTGTTTACACACAGATGCAGCTTTTGCAAACGCAAAACGGCAAGGCACCCAAGCAGGTTACATTGTTGGAATCACAACAGAAGAGTTGAAAGCAGGCACTCCAGCTCCATGGAGCCCAGCAGTCTGGAAATCATACAGGTTAAAGAGGGTCGTTGGATCTACATTTGCTGGTGAGACTCAGGCTTTGGCGGATGGACTAGGACACACCGAATGGCTAGCATGTCATCTAGCTGAGCTCAAGTATCCTTCATTCAGCCTAGGTGATCGACAGGACTACTTTCGGGATTTCGGGATTCAAGCCATCACTGACTGCAAAAGTATTTACGACCATCTTCAAACTTATGCTTCCCCAGGGACTATCACTGACAAGAGGGTGGCGATTGATCTGGTGATAGTGAAGGAGTCCCTTAAGAGACTTTGGGGTTCTATCAGGTGGGCACCAACGTGGTTGCAGTTGGCTGATGCCCTGACAAAAGAAAACGCAGATGCTATGGACATCCTCAGAGGGGCAATGCAGTCAAACGTCTACCATTTGAATAATGAAAGTGTCATGCTGAAAAAATGCAGCAGAACAACGTGCTCTCCGGGCCCGGAAGAAAGCTACCTCAGAGACTTTTGGCTCAGAGGTGTGGTTGGTCCAAGACCTACCGATCAACAACAAGATGGTGAAGATCTCAGCCAAGGGCTTCACCGAGCATGAGGTCAGGGCTTTGTTCGAGAACATGGTGTCACGCCATGCCAAGACCAGTGAGGAGTTCTTGGCTCACATGACACAGAGCCGGACGATGTGCAAAGCCAAACTACCCCTTCAGATGGTGAACTCCAAAACCTTTCGGGGAGAGACAAGCCTCGTCACGTTCACCTACACGAAGACCACACAGATGATTGCGGTGCAGGCTGGGGCAGCCTACTTGGATTCGATCGAAGACACCATGACCGATGTCATCGAAAAATATGGAGCCATGTTGAAGGCCAATGAGATTCTTCCAATGAGAGAGGGCACAGGCGAATGGTCCGAAGCATTTCGTGCAGTGCTGCATGAGGGAGCTCACTCGCAATTTCTTGAAAAAGATGAGAGTGAGAAGAAAGCAGTGCCAACAACTCCGTTGACGGAAACCAGTCAAGCGCTGACGCCAGATGATCCACCTTTCGTGGCAGCAGTGGCCGAGCTATGCCATGAGGCGAGTCGAAAGCTCTACGACTACCCAGCTTGGAAGCAGAAGTTCTTGCAGCTGATGTGCCGTGACTTTGGGGCTGACCCGCAGATGGTGATCGAGTTGAGCGGACTGACTGAGCGTTTCAATATGTCAACAGATGATGAAGAAGGCTGGTCAGTGCCTTCGGAACCGTCAAACGGTGGACCGTCGGCTAAGCCAAAGCCGTTCTCTCGGAGGTCATTGTACCCACGATCTCCTTGAATGGGCTCAATCCAACAGAAAATTTTGATCAGTGTGAATTTCACTGCATTGGATTGAGCATAGGATTTCCTCCGTATGCCATCTAGGCCGGAGTAGCAGGACTTGGGACGGACCCCCCTTGGACGTCCTCGACGCCGGCCCAAGCCATAAAGGGTGCGCTTTGCTGCGACCGCAGGGGCGGTCACGACTTCTTTGTGAGAGGGAGCCAGACCCTTTAAACCGTCTAAATGGAATGCACTGCTCTACTGTGACTCATGTGCCATCTGCAGGAATCATCTCCCTCATCGAGCCTAGCCTGAAACCTTTTGGCCATCTTGGCCAGACCCAGCTGGCCACCGAGCAGGCCACCTGCTTCAACCCCCGAGTGTAGTTGCTGGTCAAGTGCCATCTACTTGGCTTGTTAAGTAGGGTATCGCTCCAAAAATAGATATAATTATTCCATCCTCTCCCACACATGAGCAAACTTCGAGCCCCCCC